GAAGTTAGATTAGACCTAGGTATCCCCATCTCTGCTGGCAAAACTATATTGTACCAAACACTCAGGTCTGGTTTGAGATAAATTACTGACTCCCAACGACCTGAAGGCACCAGTATAAAAAGTTATAATTTGTTCAGGTCTGAAACCTGTGTTTATGGGCAGCACAAAACGTCCACTAGACTGTGCGACACAGTGATTCCCAGAATCAGGTTGGGTTACCGTTACCTGTGGCAGGTGGCTACAGGTGACGGATCTCCCAATCCTGAGCACTCCAGGTGCAAACTCTATGAGCAAAAACTGGGGCATGATTTCGCACACTACATCACCGAATGCCTAGTTATCAGACCATTCAGACCCATTGACATGAGGTACCTGGAGCTTAGCAATTACATTAATCCCTCTCGTGTACTTGAAGATATCCTCACATTGCACCCAAAACTTGTCAGTGCAGGCTCACTGAACATATGGCCCCGTATGACTAACCATCCTGCGAGATGGGGACGTTTAGAATCCTTGCTATCTTATTCACTCATGTGTTAATGATGGTATCCTTATCAGTGTTTGCCAGTGAATACTACTGATCACATGCCTTTGTATGACTAACCATCCTGTGTGATGTTTTTTTTTAGCATCACGTAGCTAGCCTTTTGACACACTCTGTACTCCCCCTCATATTGTCGAGGGTTGCCGCACAAATGCAGATGTACCTTAATGTGGTAATTAATATAAAAAATAATATGACTGCATATTATAACTTTAAAAGTATAAGTCTTAGGACTGAGTCTATTAGAGAATGATTCTACAAATTAAAGTATGAAATTTCAAATAAACTAGATAAAAAGCCTACTTTCGGGAATCAGTAGGAGTGAATTTGGGGATGAGCGTCCTGGCCGAGGAGGGGGACTGGCCATTTTGAATCGAGCAAGAAAAGATGTGTTTGGTTGTTAACTCGCAAACTGTAAAATTTTACGTTGTTTTACGAGTGTTAGACATCCACATTGCTATACGTCGGTTTCTACGATAAGTGTCTTTCCGGTGTTGTTAAATTTATTGTACATGAGCTCATTGTTTATGTAAAAATTATCTATTGCGTATGACGCGAGATAACACCAAAAGCTGGTGAGCGTCTCGTAACCTAAACCTTAAATATTAAATCTAACACAACATGTTATAATAACCATGGCTTAAATTTAACTATTTAGGTGTTTTGGCCCAATACACAATGTGGTGTGTTGACAGGTAACTGATTTACGACGTAGCAATATACAATACATGTCCACAGCAGATGTCGGGCTCACGTGACTGATATGCATCCAGGCCAACTACGCTTCTTGTTAAGCTCAGCTGACACTTGGACCTTTGTATAAATAATTGTATAAATAAAATGATGTAAATGTTATGCAGTGATTTGCACGTTAATTCCTGTTTAGTTAATAAAAACTATAAAAATACAAATGGAAATGTTCGTCTGTGCATAACCGCTAATCTCCGAAAGTTCTTCACCGATTGCTTTAAAATTTTCACAGAACATTCCATTCGCATCCGGCCAAGTTTTTATATACATTCTATATAGATGTCACGTCTGTGACGGTTAAAAAAACATGCTTTTTCTGGAAAACTTCATGTGTTTTTCTTGCGAGAGAAATCTTCGAAACTTCTTTACCGATTGCTTTGAAATTTTGACACAACCTTCTATTTGAATAGGCGCGTCATTTTGTATACCTACTATATAGATGCGACCCTTGTGACAGGTAAAAACATGCGTTTTTGAACAACAGTGCCATCTGTTGCACATAATAGCAACATGCTCGCTATATTAATATATGTCACGAATTCCATTTCAATGTTTCCGATTGCATTGATAAATTTTATTTTCATATATTCGATTAATTTTATTTTTAATTGAATTATAATGTGTGACATTGTGTTGAAATTGAGCTGTGTTGTTTACCATACCATTAATTTTGTGAGTATAGTTTATTTTTTTATTTTTTCATATTTTCATTTAATTTTTTATCTGTTTTTCTTATATTTCAATGATGGGAACATCAGATCACTTAATGTTCCCAATTTTCTGATGGGAACATCAGACCATTTGGGAAGGCATCAGACGAGGGAGTGGGGAATGATGGGGGAGGACGAGGGGACGGGGGAGTTTGGGATGGTGGGGACAAGGGGATGGGGGAATGGTGAATGGTGGGGAGGACAAAGGGACAGGGAAGTGGGGCATGGTGGGAATGAAGAGGGATGGTGGAGTGGGGAATGGTGGGGAGGCCGAGGAGACAGGTGAGGGGGGATTGGTGGGGAGAACGGGGGGACAGAGATGGTTGTTGTGGCTCAGCAACGCACATGCACTGCTGAGCCACAGCAACGCGTGGCTGGGTAATGCTAGTATATAAATATAACCTCATCGAAGTTGTGAGAAGTTTATTAGTGGGAAAATTATCTTGATTCAGTTCATTTGCTAAATAAATACTTTAAGAATAAAATTCAATAAATACAATTTCCTTAATATAAGTAAAACAAATAATTATATTTAAATCCCTCTGGAAAATTCTCAACAGTATTGGATTCAAAATAAACTACCATTCACAGATGTGTATTGGGTGCACAATAAACTACCACTCAAAACATGATTATGTTGTCCACAATAAACTACAACTCACAGGCTGAGTATGTGATGCACAATAAACTACCACTCCCTGGAAGAGTATGTGATGCACAATAAACTACCACTCCCTGGAAGAGTATGTGATGCACAATAAACTACCACTCCCTGGAAGAGTATGTGATGCACAATAAACTATACACTCACAGGATGAGTATGTGATGCACAATAAACTATACACTCACAGGATGAGTATGTGATGCACAATAAACTATACACTCACAGGATGAGTATGTGATGCACAATAAACTATACACTCACTGGATGAGTATGTGATGCACAATAAACTATACACTCACAGGATGAGTATGTGATGCACAATAAACTATACACTCACAGGATGAGTATGTGATGCACAATAAACTATACACTCACAGGATGAGTATGTGATGCACAATAAACTATACACTCACAGGATGAGTATGTGATGCACAATAAACTACCACTCCCTGGAAGAGTATGTGATGCACAATAAACTACCACTCCCTGGAAGAGTATGTGATGCACAATAAACTACCACTCCCTGGAAGAGTATGTGATGCACAATAAACTACCACTCTCTGGAAGAGTATGTGATGCACAATAAACTACCACTCTCTGGAAGAGTATGGGGTGCACAATAAACTACCGAACCGTGTTTGCGTATTCAGTATACAATACTCTACCACTCTGTGTATGTGTATGGGGAGCACATACACTCACAGGATGAGTATGTGATGCACAATAAACTATACACTCACAGTATGAGTATGGGTGCATGCACAATAAACTATACCACTCCATGAATGAGTGCGGGGTGCACAATAAGCTACCACTCAATTTACGAGTGAGGGGTGCATAATAATCTACCACTCCGTGCATGAGTGGGGGATTACACAATAAACTACCCCTCCTTGTATGATTATGGGGGTGCACAATAAACTACCACTTCGTGCATGAGTGCAGGGTGTGGGAAATTCGCACTTCAAATATAAAACTCTAATGTAACAGCCTTAAAATGCAGGTAATTTGCATTATTGGACCACACTTGACTTGAGAATGGTCCAGGACGGACCGAAACGTCGTCGTGCCTTCACTTTCTAGTGCGAAGTCTGGTCAACAATTTGCATTAGTTCAAGTAGCCAATGAATACATTAGACAGTCATAATAGGATTTCACATAATGGGATAAATGTACCCCTGGGTCGACTACACATTGTTCTTCACATTAAAGCTTCTAAACGTTTCTAACTAATATTACACTAAACATTTATCAGTCTCAGAGCTAGTTATCAAATAAAATTATTTATACAATAATTATATCAATTAGTTATATATTAAAACACAATATGAGATTACACAAAACTCTCCTTAATTTTCTCGATATATCTGGCACCTGAAGGTGACGAGCGGGGAAGGAGGTGGCCGCCATTAGGAGTGGTGTAGATTGTGAGGAATCATGAGCCCAGAGCAGGCCTCCCACAACACAAAATTCTTCCTGCACATTATAGAACGCAGCGTGACTTACAACAAAGGAACATAGTCACTATTTGTTGCCGCAACATACAAAGTAAGGGAGGGGGGGGGGCCAAGTTCGATTTGGCTATTAGCTCAGATTAGTTGGCCAACGTTTCTGAGTCTAGGATAAATCTTAAGACACAAGGACACACCACCCACAAGAGTAAGAAGGTCTAATTAACTTCATTTATGCTGCAATTGGGGAATATCTGTTCAGGCTAGATGTTACATAGAACGTTTTTCCAGGTGTATTGTGAGCACATTAGAAATCATTTGAGCTGGGACACCTCAGGACCACCAAGACACCATTAATATTTGGTGTACATGTGTCACGGAAATCTGATGTGGGATGACAAGCAAAAATTACACAACTGCTGTCGCCAATTTAAATTAAACTAACATGTAGTAGTGTAACATAACCACATTAACAATTAAATCTGCCATATAATTACGGTAAGATTAAAATATAAAAAAAAAATGTGTGAAGGGAGTTTTCTGGTGATATTAAATTATAAAATACACTCCACTTATAAGAAATAAATGCAATCTCTTGAATTAATAGTCATTTCCATCACCGGATAGATTTCCCCCACTTGGGGTACACAAAAAATTGCTGCTCTGTGCATGATTGCGTGCAGGGTGCACAATAAACTACCACTCTGTGTACGAGTGCGGGGTGCACAATAAACTACCACTCTGTGTACGAGTGCAGGGTGCACAATAAACTACCACTCTGTGTACGAGTGCAGGGTGCACAATAAACTACCACTCTGTGTACGAGTGCGGGGTGCACAACAGAGTACCGGCGTCTACCCTAATAATGTGTCTTGTGACAGTACAGGGTGGAGGAGGTGGAGAGGTTCGTGGTGGCGGCCATGGCGTCCCTGGGGGTGCCCCCGCACAACGCTCGCGCCCTCGCCCAGGTCCTTGTCGCTGCCGACGTCCGCGGACACTACAGCCATGGTCTCCACAGGCTAGGTAAGCTCACTAGGTTAATAGTCATGCTACGCCTGGTCACCTGGTCAGTAGTCATGCTACGTCTGGTCACCAGGTCAGTAGTCATGCTACGTCTGGTCACCTGGTCAGTAGTCATGCTATGTCTGGTCTCCAGGTCAGTAGTCATGCTACGTCTGGTCACCAGGTCAGTAGTCATGCTATGTCTGGTCACCTGGTCAGTAGTCATGCTACGTCTGGTCACCAGGTCAGTAGTCATGCTATGTCTGGTCACCTGGTCAGTAGTCATGCTATGTCTGGTCTCCAGGTCAGTAGTCATGCTATGTCTGGTCACCTGGTCAGTAGTCATGCTACGTCTGGTCTCCAGGTCAGTAGTCATGCTACGTCTGGTCACCAGGTCAGTAGTCATGCTACGTCTGGTCACCAGGTCACGAGTCAAGCTAGGTGAGTCCACCAGGTCACTAATCATGCTAGATCAGGTCAACAGGTCAAACTTTGTGCTAGGTTAGGTCACTACTCATTCTAGATGACTACACCAGGTTACTAGTCTTGCTAGGTGAGTGTGAGAAGGTAGATTACCAGGTAGCTTTTAAACTGTGTGTTAGAGTACATGCCGTCGGTTTGTACTCTAAAATGAGTGCAAAAGAATGCACTCACACTAGATTCTGTAATTCTGAAGCTAGTCTTTTGTTGATGGGGTGTCTATAAAAAGCCCTAGACCTTGGGCTGTTCAGTAAGACTGCGGAGACCACCGAAGTCTTTCTGTGAAAGGAATTACAACTATTAGTATAGCATTAACATTTAAGTGTAAGGAGACAGAGAGAGGAGCGGGTGGAACTTGTGGCCGGTTTTCACTTGTGGTCAACAGTTTTCCTCGCTTGTGTAAACATGGGCTGTAGGCCGTGACGTCACTTGTTCATCACGTGACCCAAGGAAGGCCTAAGACTGTTCGAGGCACCTTGGCCGAAGACGCACTCTTCTCTGATTGGTGTTTTTAAAGAACAGAGGGGGAGAGTGCGGACCCTTCCCCCAGCTTGTCCCGGAGCGGGTATTCTGCACTCCATGACAACCTTTGTCGGACGTGAATGATTGTGCTATCGGCCAGTAGTACCAATCTCCGTTATCGCGCCATTATTATTCATCTCATCATTCCGTTCTGATTCTCGCTGCCGCGAATTGCCGTCAGTGCGAGTGTGTAAGATTATTCACAATTTGAGAGAGTCAAACAGAGCGTATCACCACATGATCCCGCAGGAGCAGCGAGACTGCATTGTTAAGATCCGTGATTATCGGCAGCATCCGTAGTCATCCGTCACCATATGGCTACGATACTTGACTAAGAGGGAATAAGGAAAGGTTTCCCAGTGATTGTACATCCTCCTTGAGGTTATCTTGAGGTTATCTTGAGATGATTTTGGGGCTTTAGTGTCCCCGCGGCTCGGTCCTCGACCAGGCCTCCACCCCCAGGAAGCAGCCCGTGACAGCTGACTAACTCCCAGGTACCTATTTACTGCTAGGTAACAGGGGCATTCAGGGTGAAAGAAACTTTGCCCATTTGTTTCTGCCTCGTGCGGGAATCGAACCCGCGCCACAAAATTACGAGTCCTGCGCGCTATCCACCAGGCTACGAGGCCGCTCCTGAGGTAATTAAGTGAATTACCGCCACATCTGTGGACATAGTGTAATTCCTGCCTAAACAGAGCTACCACGCCCATGTTCTGTAACACATTGTCCCATTCTTGGGTCACCTACGACCTGTGTTCACCCCGTGTGCCCACGCGTCGCCGCCAGCCGGTGTTACCAGGCGAGCCTCCTAGCCCTCCCGGCAGGAGCTGCCAATCTCGCCTGTGTGAGCGATACAATCCTCCATGTGCCACCCACCTCTTCTGTGCGGGTGACCCCAGAGTCATCCACCACCTGGTACCAGCATACTCCACGTGCTCGCATATAACCACGTGTGGAGAGAGTTGAACAGAACTTCAATCAACAGCTGTATTAAGTTCTGAGTGAGTGAGGAGTGAGAGTGAATGAGAAGGCCGGTTTAAAAGTGAGTACTCATATTTCTGTATTGTGCTTAAAGTTTCTTTAGTTGGCATTACATCAACTTCCGGTTGGACATTATCCTAGAACACCTGGACAGGTGATGGAAGCGTAGCCGAGGGGAACGCACATGCAAGGGGTCCCTACAGTATGTTGGAGGGAACTGCTTTTTTAGAGTCGTTTTGTTGTGTATTAACTCACCTAGTTGTGCTTGCGGGGATTGAGCTTTATCTCTTTGGTCCCGCCTCTCAACTGGAGTACAGATTCCTGAGCCCACTGGGCTCTATCATATCTACATCTGAAACTGTGAATGGAGTCAGCCTCCACCACATCACTTCCTAGTGCATTCCATTTACTAACTACTCTGACACTGAAAAGTTTTCTAATGTCTCTGTGGCTCATTTGGGTACACATTTTCCACTTGTATCCCTTTGTGCGTGTAACACTCATGTTAAATAATCCATCCTTGTCTACCCTGTCAATTTCCCCTGAGAATCTTGTATATAGTGATCATGTCTCCCCGAGCTCTTCTGTCTTCCAAGGAAGTGAGGTGCATTTCATGCAGCCTTTCCTCGTAACTCATGGCTCTTAGTTCTGGTACTAACCTAGTGACATACCTCTGAACTTTTTTCCAGTTTCGTCTTGTGCTTTACAAGGTACGGGCTGCATGTTGGGGCTATCTAATCATGAGGTTATCTTGAGAATATCTTGAGATGATTTCGGGGGCTTAGCGTCCTCGCGGCCCGGTCCTCGTCCAGGCCTCCTTTTTGTTACACCCCCCACCTCCAGGAAGCAGCCCGTAGCAGCTGTCTAACTCCCAAGTACCTATTTACTGCTAGGTAACAGGGGCATCAGGGTGAAAGAAACATTTTGCCCATTTGTCTCCGCCTCCACTGGGGATCGAACCCGGAACCTCAGTACTACGAATACGAAGTGCTGTCCTCTCAGCTGTCAGGTGCATGGCATCAGCTGTCAGGGGCCCGCATACTCCAGGATGAAGTATCCTGGAGTATGCGGTACATACCATGTATGTACCTTGTACATACATATATGTACCTTGTACATACATGGTACACAAGGTTCCAAAAGATTCCTTACACAGGTTTCTGAAGGCCGTTCTGACGTTAGCCACCCTCGCGTATACCACCGATGTTATTCTTTTGATGTGGGCTTCAGGAGACAGGTTTGGCGTGAAATCAACTCCTAGATTTTTCACTCTGTTCGTTTCGTAAAGGACTTCATCTCCCACTCTGTGTTACAGTGTCTGGCCTCCTATTTCTTCCCTCAAGATTCATTACCTTACATTTACTTGGGATGAACTTTAGTAGCATTTGTTGCAACATTCATTCAGTTTATTTAGGTCATCTTGTAGTCTCATACTATTTTCCTCCGTTTTAATCCTCTTCATAATTGTCCCTTCATCTGCAAACATTGAGAGGAACGAGTCTATTCCCTCTGGGAGATCATTTACATATATCAGGAACTGTATAGGTCCAAGAACTGATCCCTGAGGGGCTCAACTGGTGACGCCTCGCAACTCCGAGACCTCATCCCTCACAGTGACTATCTGTCTTTTGTTGCTTAGGTACTTCCTTATCCAGTGGAGTATCTTCCCTTACACTCCTGCCTGCCTCTCCAGTTTGTGCACCAGTCTGTTATGTGGTACTGTGTCAAAAGCTTTCTGGCAATCCAAAAATATGCAGTTTGCCCAGCCCTCTCTTTTTGCCTGATTTTTGTTGCCTGGTCATAGAATTCAGACAATCCTGTGAGGCATGATCTGCCATCCCTGAACCCATTCTGATGTTTTGATACAAAGTTCTTCTGCTCCAGATGTTCCACTAGTTTTTTTCACGCAATCTTCTCCATCACTTTGCATGGTATGCAAGTTAATATCACTGGCCTGTAGTGTAGTGCCTCCTGTCTATCACTCTACTTGAATATCAGGACTACATTAGCCATCTTCAAAGTTTTAGGTAGTTCTCCTGTTACCAGTGATTTATTATACACAATGACGAGTGACTGACACAGAGCTTTTGCTCCGTCCTTCAGAATCTAAGGTGAGATTCCATCTGGGCTTTAAGCCTTTGTCACTTCCAACTCTAGCAGATGCTTCCTCACCTCCCCTCTGGTAATCACAAACTTATCTTGTGGTGTTTGGTTAGATCTTCCCTCTCCTGTCTCTGGGACTTCCCCCTTGCTCTACTGTGACGACCTCCTGATATTTCTTATTAAGTTCCTCGCACACCTCTTTGTCGTTTGTAGTGAATTCGTCTGCCCCTATCCTCAGATTCATTACCTGTTCCTTCACTGATATTTTTTTTTCCTGATGAGGCTGTGCAGCAATTTTGGTCTTTGCCTTGCTTGCTATATCTTGAGATGGTTATCTTGAGATAATTTCGGGGCTTTTTTTTAGTGTCCCCGCGGCCCGGTCCTCGACCAGGCCTCCACCCTCAGGAAGCAGCCCGTGACAGCTGACTAACACCCAGGTACCTATTTTACTGCTAGGTAACAGAGGCATAAGGTGAAAGAAACTCTGCCTATTGTTTCTTGCTGCTATGTCATTATCATTTTGTCTTTCTGCCTCTCTCCTTACCCTGACGTATTCATTCCAGGCGCTCTGGTATCTTTCTCTACTCATTTGTGTCTTATTATTTTTGTAGTTTATCCACGCCTTTTTACTTTTTGCTTTGCTAGCTTACATCTCTGGTTAAACCATGGGTTTTTCCTCTGCATTTTATTTCTTTCCTTCTGGACTGGGGCGAACTTGTCTGCTGCCTCCTTGCATTTCTTTGTAATGTAGTCCATCATGTCTTGTGCCGTCTTTCCTCTGAGCTGTTTCCCAAGTTATATCTGTTAGGAGTTTTCTTATCTCCTCATAGTTTCCCTTTCTGAATGCCAGCCATCTGTTTTCTGGACCCTTTGTTAAGTATATTATCCTATTAACCCTTCTTCGACCAGATACTCAAACATTAGTATGCTGTGAT